TATAAAAAGAAGTTTGTTTAAACTTGAGTTGCATATGATACTAGTCCTAGTCCAGGATGAACCAACTATCGCTCATAACTCGGGTTGAAAAACCTTGGGTTATGTTCGATAGGAAAATGTGTGATTGGACGTTTAGTCTAGGGTTCTTGAATGTGTTTCTAGAACCTCAAAACGAACGGCTTAGTGCACATATGTAGCATCTTTAGTCTGGTTCCGGGTCTACGGTTGGTTGCGCATGTTCTTGTTTAATTGTTGCGCGGCCAATCGGATCAACGTTGACCTAATCCAAGTCAGGGGTGTTACACCACTGATTCTGCGGACCATCTGATGGAATTCGAGGTGGCTCTAGGGAGGGCAAAAATTTTAGAGAAGCCAAAAAAGACATCGGCTACTGCAAGCTATTTGTAGAAAGCCTTAAAGGGTCTACCCTCCAATGGTTGGAGAAGAACTCAATCCACACCTTCCACCAACTTTCATAATTGTTTGTGCAGCATTACAACATCTTCGCGGAACGGAAGATCTATTACGCTGAGTTATGGACAATCGGCAGGGCAAGAATGAAAGCCTACGGTCTTTCATGACAAAGTTCAAACACACGCTGTCAAAGGTGGATGACATAAGCAACACGTCCGCGCTAGAGCTTTGAGAGGAGGGCTCCGATGCCCTTCTCCATTCTGGTAGGAATTGACTATCAACCCGCCAACGACCATCCAAGACGCTTTTCACCACGCTACAGACTTTGCTCGAAGTGAGGAGGAAGTCCGTGCAAAGAGGGGCAGAAAGACTAAACAAGCAAGCGAACCCGCAGGCTGCAAACCCCGCTACGCCAAAGAAGGGTAATTCCTCCTTCATCCAGTACCAAGGGGAATCCGCATGAGCTCATAATTACCAAGTAGAATCATCGGGCTACGGTCGAGGTCAAGGCCACGGGCGAGGCCGCGGCAGAGGAAATTATACCGCGGTCAGAGATCCGAAGGAGTACGATGAGAAGCTGTACTGCGAGTTCCACAAGGCCAGCGGACACTCAACGGCAAAGTGCCGCGAGTTGGGACGGCAGCTGATAGCTAAACTTACTGGTGGCACTCTAAAGAGCGATGTCAGCCTGTCAGACTTCAAGCCTGAAGAGGTGAAGACTCCTACTAACACCGAACCACAGGCGGAAAACCTCAAGCGCCAACGCCTCGATGACAACCCAGAAAACGAAAATCCTCAGGATACCATCTACATGATAATGGAGGGATCGCAGTACTGTGCTGACTAAGTTATCACATAATTGAACGTTTAAGGTTTTATTCTAGAATTAATTCTTCATCTCTATTTACGCTCAAGGCATGATCTGGCTTAGCTACCCAGTGACTGATATTAGGTTGATATACTCTCCAAAAACTTGTTATATCTCCAGACCTAGTATTTGATGAGTTAGGCATCTTAACAATTTGATAGGTTAGTTAAGGAGTTTAGTGAACAATCGAATCTTACACTTTACGCGTGTCTTCACCTTGTAATAACCATCAGATAGTTGAGTCTATTAGGGAAGAAGACATAGAAGTTTGATCCACGACAGTGGTATGATTTTACCTTAGTGATTTGAGTTCTAGAACAAGTAGCATTAAAAACCCTAAATCGTTTGCTTGTGTCTTGCATATGTCTTGAGAATTGCTTGATCTTTTATCTTGATTGAACTATCTATCTTCACTTTATTGTTTTGTTATTTGCTTCCATAAATCTTAAAAACCAAATAATATATTCATCTAGCTTAATTCGCATCATATAGATTTGTAGCGCATCATCACTTAGTCCTCAGTGGATCGACCCCTAAGTACTACAATTGTCAATACTGTGCAGTTTCCTAGGGTTATAAATTTAAAACTTGCATATGCATCTAAAAACCCTGCACATCAAATGTCTCTTGGTTCCATAAATTCCTGGAGAATTGGGATATGCCAGTCTTTCGTGACATGATTATATAGATGATATACCTCG